TTCTCATTGTGGATTAGTACTGTTAGGCCTCGTGTCAATATTACAGTGGGAAGATTGTGAATCTAACAACTATGTTTGTTACTTTTCCTTCTGATGGGAATTTGCAATTTCTGATTGAGGTTCAAGAGCGCCTCTATAAGAAACAAATGAGAATTTTACTTCATCTATGAGTACATGAGGATTTCTCTTGTTCATATCTTGGTTTTTCATTTCATGGGCACTATGTTTTCAAACTTACGCTGTGAAATGCCCATATGGGTTGGGACTGTTTAGAAATTCAATAACTTCAGCTTTATTTAACTTATGACACCTAAATTTTTCTTCTGATGATCCAAAGAAAATTATGTGCCCATTGCTCCCATTGATCAAGATAATAGATCACATTAATTTTCTGACCTCTTAAAAGCCTGCTACATTGCCTTTATTATATCATGAGCTCAAATTAAAGCTTGAGCAGTACTGGTTTTTGAGATGTGATTTTTAAAACTTAGGCTTCTATGGTTCCCTAACCTCTTCGTTATGTTAATGGATTGGAAATGGTTTTGGCTTACATTGGTAAATTCCTAGGTGCACATGATATATCAGCAATAATAAGTTCCGATACAAAAAAATGTAATAGCTAGATATTGTAAGAAACTAATCTTAAACAGTTTTGCATGTTACTAATACTAAAAGGGACTGTAGTTGGCATTTTCTGGTTATAGTATCATTTCACTGTATCTCTTTTTTACCGCATAAGTTATCAAATCTAGATCAAGTGAACCGAATGTTACAAGAGGACTTATTTTGTTATCCTGAATTCCTACTGATTAATTACAAACAATTGGCCAACGAGTCTACATAAAAATATCTGTGTTTTCTGACATCAGTATATATATATATATGCTGTAAAAATGAAACTGATGATTTTTTTGGTTTTCAATTTCAGGGATGGATTTTTACAGATTATTATTCCTAAGCTTTGAAGATGATGGAGCTGGTACCTATCATACTTGGAATATTCATATCTACATATATCTTTTTCCTTGTAGCATATGATAACTTCATGCATCTTCCTATCAACCATGTTCATGGAGAAAAAAAGTGAGTGATTGTGGCTGTGAGCCGAGAATCTATGTCTTCTCTCTTTGTACGCTGCTCTAAAGATAGATGTTATTACTGTGAATCAGCCATGTCCTCTTTCCTTTTACGTATACAAAGACAATAACTCTGTGTGTGTGGATGTGCTAGAGTAGATGGTATATATTATACTTTTTAATTATTTTTTGGATCAGGTTTTTCTCTTTTTTCAAATTGAAAGTAAATATCATTATGGATAAAACGACTATAAACTAACAGGTTTGGTATGTTGGAATAGATTACGGAGAAACAATAATGGAATGATGCTACTAAAATAATCTTCTTAGAAGCTTTTTTGTTCGTCTGTGCAAGTATTTTGTAAAATACATAAAGCAATTATTGCAATTATTATATTATTATATTATTATTATTATTATTATATTATTATTATTAATGGGTGCTCTTACTATGAATATTGTTGAGCAGTGTGTGAAGAGAAAATTGAGGGAATTAAGTAAAAGTGAGTTAGAATGTAGGGAAAACGACAATAATTTTTTTAAATTATATAAATAATAATTTAATTTTTAAAATGTCATAATTTATCAAAATTTTTAGGATTTTTTTTATTATTAATAAATTTATATAAATGATTAAATTGTTTTTGTTAAAAATAAAATGATCACCTTATGTTAAATTCTTAATATTGTTACAAATGTTAAAAATAACAAGTAATAATTATAAATTTTTATTTAAATTATCACAATTGGTTTTTTAATTCACAATACTATAATAAAAATTATAATTTTATATGTTAAATTTATGATGCTGTTAGGGTGTTAAGAATAATAAATAATGATTATAAATTTTGTTTAAATAATTACAATTTATTTTTTATATTTGCAATAACGCAATACTAAATTGTAACTTTACATGTTAAATTTTTAATAATACTATAAGAATAATTGATTATTTAGAGAAATTCATTGATGATAAAATCTCTAAAAACTTTATAGAATTATAATTTTTAAGAAATAATATAATTAATTTTTTCTGGTAAATAATATCAATTAATTTTAACTAACATTTTTTCTTTGTGAGTTAAAAGTTACTTGTACATTGAAAAAGAGGGAGTATACTACAGGGCATGTTACATGGTATGGGCAAAAAAAAAAATAATGTAATAACAAGTCGGCCAAAAAAAAAACTATAACAAGAAAGAAATTATCTAATAACAATTGATTAAATTATCTACAATGATAAAAATTTAGTTATATACTCCTCCATTAAAAATATTTTTAACCAAATTTCAAACCCTTCAATAAAATAACTATTGTCTTTAAGTTAATATCATTTTTTTATATTTATCCTTATTTAATGAAGTATTTTATTTTAAAATAAATATAAAATAATTATTTATTAGAGGCACTTTAAAAAAACCTGATTATATCTTAAAATACATAAAATGTTTTTATTTTTTAACATTTAACTCTTAAAAAATATTTTATATTTTTTAATGGGAAGAAGTAAATATGAGTGCAATTCACATTTTTTTATACCATTATGTAAAAGGAATGGTTTGTTTCCATTTTATTGAAAATAGAATGAGAGGCATCAAAATTCAAGAAGCGTGGGTAGTCCTTTTCCAATTCCCTGGTCAATAAAAGGCAAAAAAAAAAAAAAAAAAAAAGCTAATCGTTGTATAAAGAGAAAAAGTGAAATATAATATTATCAAATTTAGATGAAAAATACAAACTACATATATATTTAGATTTTAGAAGCGTGTGGAGTGGAGAATTCAGAATTAAATAAATGAAAGTGACTAATAAATTGCCGAGATATAATTGATTGATGGATCAATTACAATATATTAGTAAATCCGCAAATAGACCTGTTCAATTAAAACTTGATTGTAAATACATTTAATAAATTAGCAAATAGACCTGATCAATTAATTACATTATTGTGGTAACTATGTAAATTGTTTTATTTAATTTATTTTTAAGAAAATAAAAATACCTTTCGTTATAAATCTTTGATAATTATTATATTCTAAGGGCTAATTAAGTATAAAAATTAATATAATATAATGAACAATAAAATGAACAAAAGTTCAAAAATGATTTGAATCATTATTTAAAAATAATAAAATTCAGATAAAAATATTGAATAATTATTACATGGTCATAAATATTTTTTAAAAAAATCCTTTTTCCTACTCCCTCCTTTCCAAAAATAAAATATTTTTTAAAAGTTGGATATTAAAAAATATAAGATATTTTTAATCTTTCGAGATGTAATCATGTCTTTTTTTTAAATAGCCCTATTGATAATGATTTTATATTTATTGTAGGGTGTTTAATAGGGATAAATATAAAAGATAGAGTTAGTTTGAAAGTAGGTAATTACTTTATTGAGGGGTTAGATTCAATTAAAAATGCCTTATATTTTTTAATGAAGGAGTAAATCAAAAGACCCTTGTTTCCTCCACAAGACAACTAACACCCAATAAATTCAAGACAATAATAATTTATAAGAAAATGAACAATTAATTGCTCCAATTAAATTTTGATGACTACTTTTTTTTTTTTTATAAAACAACACAACCTTACATGTGGAAAGGCAAAAAGAAAAAAAAGAAAAAAAAGAAAAAAAACAGAGACAGGAATTTTTATTTTGTGCTATAAAATTGGAATTTACTTTGAAAAAGGATCGACAATCTTGTCATGAAGCAAAGGGCACCTTTAGAACATGAGAATTCCTCCACGACTTGTGACAGTTACCAAAATGATTTCAGTTTTCACCATATTTAACTTCTTCTTCAAAGCAAACCATCACGTCCCCATCGTTCATAAATCCAAGACAACAAAAACCAATTGCCAACACTACATATATATAAACGCTCTCTATTTAAGCTTCCAGAATATACAATTCAGATACACACATTTTGGCAATGGCTGTTCCTGTTGCCGTAATTTGGTGGTGGTAATACTAGTACCATTTAGTGGGGTTGTGAATGGAAAAGAAGAGCTTAAGGGGTGTGATATATACAATGGAAGATGGGTTTATGACACTTCATATCCTCTATACAATTCAAGTCAGTGTTCCTTCGTAGAGACACCATTTGCTTGCCAGCAAAATGGTCGTCCTGATAATCTTTATGTCAAATACAGATGGAAACCCTATTCATGCAACCTGCCAAGGTACTTATCCTTTTTGTTTATTTTTTGATGAATTGTGAATCTTTGACAATGCATAGATTGATAAATTTAAGTTTTAAAATTCCAGAGTGAATACCTATAAATATGAATGTGTAGCAATTAATGTGACACAGGTTTAGTGCAACTAAGTTCTTGGAGAAGTATAGGAATAAGAGAATAATGTTTGTGGGAGACTCCATAAGCTTGAACCAGTGGCAGTCACTCGCCTGTATGCTTCATTCTCGAGTTCCTCATGCTGCTCACATTTCAGAGCGAGTCGAAGGTGTCTCTACCTACACCTTTCTGGTCAGCTTTTCTTTCTCTTATAATCTTTCATTGAACAAACTATATGATTGGATTTAAGGTGCTCTTCAATATATGTTATGTACCTTATCATTTATGATGACGTAACAGGCGTCCACAAATTTTGATGGATTCATACTTCCCACGAAATCATGATTCCTGCACCAAATAGGACCTTAGAGTTTTTGCAAATATGCAGGACAAAACTGAAACTCGCCTTGTGTGTGCGCGCGCGAGAGAGAGAGAGTCAACCCTTTTTACCTAAATCTTGTTCCAGATAAAATGGCAATAACTAAAATATAATGTGGCATAAGTGTAAGACCAAGATACAACAACAAGGCTTTATCCCACTAAGTGGGAGTAAGACCAAGATAATTAAAAAACAAATATGTTCACCATCCAATAACACAATGAAGAACTAGAAAAAAGTAGGTAGAGAGAGCATCCATAAGGTTTTTGAAGTGAGTTTCTTGTAAAAATGTTCGACAAGACAAGCATGAGATTGGATTATACGGTCAGCCCCTACAACCTTCTGAAGTTGAGTTCTTGCATATTCATGTTGAATAACAAACAGTTCATGTGCTCTTCTGTAGGACCACAATGTGTCGTTGATACTTTCCAGAAACGCACTGCTTGTAGACATCGCTCACAAGTCATGGGGGAGGGTTCTGAAACTGAATTCCATTTCTGAAGATGATGCTAAACTGTGGCGAGGGAGCCATGTCTTGGTGTTCAACTCGTGGCATTGGTGGCTTCACCGTGGCAGGAAACAACCGTAAGAACATAAGACTAATTGACATATATAGATGAAGCTGAATGTTCTGTTCTCATTCAAAAATCAATAACAATATGAACTAGGCTAAAGATACAATACATTAGAACAAGGTCATTGTACAGGAATTTCTACCTATGAGGAGATTGAGCTATCATATTTTATTTACTCAGACTCTCAAACTTTAAACTTTAAAAAGGTTAGAATAGATTCTTAAAGTAGATCTAATTGTCAGAAAGGTTTGACCTTGTTGAGAGATACCACGTGGAAAAAATCATGTAAAATGGTCCACGAATGAACTTAAAGGACCTATAATCACAAATATATGATCCTTAATGTAAAAAAAAAAAAAAAAACAGTACATGAACCCGTTTTTGCCCCCAGTTTTATTTGTTTCACGTTGTAATTTGTTTGCAACGGCTTTGAATTGAATGCAGATGGGATTTCATTACAGATGGAGAAGATTTACATAAAGACATGGATCGTTTAGCTGCCTACGAGATAGCCTTGTCAACATGGGCTAAATGGGTAAATGAGAACATTGATTTTACCAAAACTGAAGTATTCTTCCAAGGGATTTCACCAACGCATACGAAGTAAGTCCAATAATTTTAGATAAAAAAAATATCAAAATCATTTACCAGTTACTTATAACATTAATTGGAATACCGGCATCTCATTAGTACTATACTCACCATCACTAGATTTTGGAGCAATTCATATTGCCAGTGGCCAGTGCTAAATTTAGATAACAATTTGAAACCATTTACCTGTTTCTCCATATTCTTCATTGGTAAAAAATTCTGCATTCTTCACTCACTGTATATTTCAACAAGAAAGAACAAACAGTCAGGCATAGACATCTCATTAGTGCCATTATTGCCAGTGCTAAATTATGGGGGAACTATGATGGAGAGAGTTGCCGTGAAGAAACAAGGCCAATGTTTGGGTCACCATATCCAAGAAAAAGGCTTCCAGCTGAAGTGATAGTTGAGAGAGTGATAGGCAGCATGTCTAAGAGGGTACATTTGCTCAATATAACAAGACTGTCACAGCAAAGAAAAGATGCGCATCCTTCTGTTTATGGCATACCAGAAAAGCATCTTCAAATTGGCATGGATTGCAGCCATTGGTGTCTTCCGGGAGTTCCTGACACATGGAATGAGCTCTTGATTGCTGAGCTCACAAGGAGTTAAGATTGTATTGCCATGCCTGCACTGAATGGATAAGGGAGGCACAAATATCAAAGTAATGAAAGAATATAAAGTAAATGATTTTCTATACACCGCTTCAGTTTCAAGTAATTAAGTCCAGAAGTACAATAATCGGCCTATTTTCCTGGTGTTCTTTATCTATGAATTGAAAAAGGAATAATAATTTGGTCTGTCTCCTGATTAGACCAAAAGATAGATAGATGCAAGTTTCATGTCAATTTCAGATAATATTTACCTTTCAGTCCGTTCTCTTTCATATTAACTTTTATGCATCAATTCCAGTTATCTTTCCTTTCAAAATACTAATTACTGTACATTTTATCGTCCAAATAGTTACTTTTGTTTTGGGGGAAAAGAAAAGAAAGAATTATTTGTCATCATACATTCTGACATTGGTAATATCACAAATACATTCACGAGCTCATGTTACTAACTAAACTTACAAGTATTTTTTATTTTTTATTTTTTAAAAAAAGAGAAAAAAAAGCTCTACCCCAACGCTTTGATAAAAATCAATACTAGAAGACCCTAACACGTCCAACAACAATAGTTCTTGTACAAGGGAGCCAGAATGACAAGGCAGAGAAGAGCGAACCAGACATTATTTAGATTTTACCAAACATTCTATTATATGTGCAAATTTAAGTTTACTATTATTCTGATAATTGAGAGAAAAGAAAACAGTCAGCTATAACCATGCTATGATGCATTGGAAGCTTAACTACAGGGCCTACAAAATGAATATTTTGTTTTCTTAATGAAAAGGATCAAATAAATGTTATTCTCAAAGAAAGAAAATAGAGAGCAACTGCTTATAGGCAACAGATAGATACTGCCATACTGGTTGATGTGTTAAATATTGTTGTGAACATTCAAAGGTCAATCAGCTAAAAGGGTGAATTGAATCTGATAGTTAACATTAGTAAATCAAGCGGTATCAGCATAAAACATAGCGAGCGAACACAAAAGGGTTGGTCCAAAAGACAGCATTATATCAGGGAAGACAGTTTTCTGCATCTTTTGTGGAAAGATATATCGTCAGCTTCCCTTGGCACATCTTACTCCTAACAATCAAACAAACCCCTAGTTGAAGCTGAAATTGTTATGCAACAGATAAATTAGCTTAGCAATATATGTGCAAGCATGTGTATTCATGCACATGTGTATCCCTAGACTAACCAAACTTTGGCAGCAACAACGAGAAGTCTTATCCCATATTGACTACATGAATAGCACGGCACTATTGCGCTCTATACTAACCGAACTTGGCATCAAAAGAAAATTCCTGATAGTAAATTGTACGAGTAACAATACTGATACTTGATCCAATTTCCTTCTTTTCCTTCTCTAAATATAAATATGCCAATTTCCTTCTTTTCCTTCTCTAAATAATAATTTAAAATAATAAATTTTAGCGAAGTAAATTTATTATTATATATTTACGTATTCAACGGGCGTGGGCAAAAAATAATAATTTTTAGAATAATCAATAAATAATTGGATCATAACTGCGATTATCTCATAAATACAATATCAATATTCTTGTAGTAAACAGCTTTCCTTAATTAGTACATTGGCAGTTAATGATGGAGACATCCACTTCTACATAATCCCTAACATATTATAATCATATATACTATATGGAGATAATTACAGAAGATTATCAAGGTGCTTTGCTAAAAAGTTTAGAACTATGTATAGTAACACTTCAGACATTACAACTAGATTGAGAACCTTCTCTGGTGGGACCGCGAGTGTGAAACCTCCATTTTAAGAGATAGTCCCTGGATTCGCAGGATAATCTGATGACGTCACAGAAAGCGTTAAGTGAGCTGATTTTTTCGTTAGTTTTCCATTCGATTCTCACCCAGCATGTAAACCCACTTGATGAAATCGGTATACTTGAATCGCAAAGCAGTGTCACCTCCCCACTGATTCTCTTGCACGAGCGACGTGGAAGTCTTCCATCACTGGTCACCATCGAGTCGAGCCAAGGGCATTCTGGTTGACCCACCATCTCCTTGTAAGCAGAATTTGCCATTCTAACCTGGTTGTTTGAATCTGATATAACAACAGGCAAGGCCTCAGACTCAACCTCTAGCTCGACCTCCTCTGGCGTTTTCGGGGCTCGAGCTGTTAGGGGCAGGCTAGGGTCTTCATTGATGCACCCCACGCTTATGCTAGACCCAAGGGGGCGAACTGGCCGAGGTGCGATAACAATGCTTACTGTTGGTGTCTGCAGCTGCTGCAAGAGATCTTTTTCTTCTGGGATTTCTGCTATGGCGTTCAAATCAATAATCTCTTCTCTTCCCTTGACCATGTCAGGTTCAGGCGGAGAACACGGAAGAAGTGGAAGTGTCACTAAACTGGGAGTATCATTGTAAGGCTTTTCCCAGCCGGAGTTGAGCACTCCATGGTTAGGAGGAGGAAGAGGGAGATGAGGTAGGCCATGGCTATGAGAAAAACTCTGTAAACATAGGTTCTTTGCGGGAGATGTTACATGGCAAGGCGACAAAAGCCGAAAACATGGGTCTTCTGGCTCTTGAGGGAGGGCAGTGGTATAGAAGCTCTGCCTCTCTTCCGGGTCCTGGTAGGGCGCGCCTGCAACTGCGGCCACAGGTTCCTGAGGTAAGGAGACTGCTTGATCTTTTGACACAGGGAGGAACCCTCAGTCATGGAATTCCCGGGAGTCTCAGGCTTCGGAGCTATGGGCCTATACCTGGACATGATTTCAGCAGTTTTTGCAGTATTGGAATAAGGATGTAAAGTCTTAACCATGGTGATATCTAGCTTTGTTTGAGCTTGAGAGTATTTTGTTTTAGCAGACGACGCATAGAAAATTGAGTGAAGAAACTGATAGTGAGGAGGACAGAAAATGAGGGTGAAGCAGGAGAGTTATAAAAGAAGGGGATGACTATCGGTGGTGTTGAAGTAGGAGAAAGAGCCAATGAGGAGTGGGCACAGTAAGGGGAAGGAGGAGGAGAAAGTGACACTTGTAAATGAAGGGTGGGTACGTGTTGAAGGGGCTCAGATGGGAGGACATATGGGAATGGAGAAACAAAGAGAGAAGGGGAGTGCAGAGTCATCAATCTCTCACGCCAATCAGGGACCTTGCCTGGCTTCTAATTATACGAAAAGCGAGAAGGTGGGCTCGCATTATAACGCGTGTGGTGATGGCCGCCATGCGTGAAAACACCTATCCCTCTCCAGTCGGTTACATTTGTTCGCTCTCTACGTGTCACAAATCAGATAGCAAGAAAGAGAGTCAATCATACCTGAGTGCGATAAAGAGAGAAACGGAGGGAGTCGAGCTCGAGCACACCACTAATACAGGGCAGACAGCAAGAAGACTTCACGCCTTCAGGGATTCACAGATTCGACAAGGAGAGGCAGAGGAGCGGGAGCGAGAAGGGACGGACGAGAGCGACAAGACTTCACACTCGCACAGCACACTTGCTGACTCGCAGCCTTCGTTCGGCGTTTAGGGGAGGCGAAGGGGAAGAGAAAGCGAAGCCTTCGTTCCGCGTTTAGGAGGATCCTCGTTCCGTGCTCATCACCCAAATGGGCGATCTTGCCTTCCATTTCACCTCATAATATCTGCAGTTAATTTTAAATATTATATTTGTGAAATAAAATTTAAAAATTACTAAAAAAATAATATTAAATCTGGTACTTAGTACATCTACATAGCGAATTTGTAAATATTATAAATGATTTTAATCTTAAATTGAATTATTCAAATTATAGTCAATTTATAAAAATACTTGAATGACAGTTAAAAACCATTTACCTGTTTCTTCATGTTTTTCATTGGCACAAAATTCACCATTCTTCAGTTACTGTATGTTTCAACAATAAAGAACAAACAGTCAAGCATAGACATCTCATTAGTGCCATTTTGCCAGTGCTAAATCATTGGGGAACTATGATGGGGGAGTTTTGCCGTGAAGAAACAAGGCCAATGTTTGGGCCACCATATCCAAGAAAAAGGCTTCCAGCTGAACTGAGAGTGGAGAGAATGATAGGCAGCATGTATAAGAGGGTACATCTGCTCGATGTAACAAGACTGTCACAGCAAAGAAAAGATCTACATCCTTCTGTTTATGGCATGGATTGCAGCCATTGGTGTCTTCCGGGAGTTCTTGACACATGGAATGTGCTCTTGATTGCTGAGCTCACAAGGATTTAAGATTGTGCTGCCATGCCTGCACTGAATGGATTAGGGAGGCACAAATGCCAAAGTAATGAAAGAATATCAAGCGAATGAGATTCCTTATACAGCTTCAGTTTCAAGTAACCAAATCCAGAAGCACAATAATTGGCCTATTTTCCTCGTGGTCTTTATCTATGAATTGAAAAAAGAATAATAATTTGGTCTGTCTACTGATTAGACTAAAATATAGATAGATGCGAGTTTCATGCTTCAATTTCAGATAATATTTACCTTTCAGTCAGTTCTCTTTCATATGTAACTTTTATGCTTCCATTCCCGTTGCTATTTAGCTCGTTATTTTTCCTTTCAAAATACTAATTGCTCTACATCTAATCATTCAAATAGTTACTTTTGTTTTGAGGGAAAAGAAAAGAGAGAATTATTTGTCGTCATACATTCTGACATTGGTAATATCACAACTACATTCACGAGCTCATGTTGCTACCTAAACTCACAAGTATTTTTTATTTTTATTTTCTCTAAGAAAAAAAGATCCACCCTAACACTCTTAATGAAAATGAATACTAGAAGATTCTAACACGTCCAACAACAATAGTTCTTGTACAAGGGAGGCAGAGTAACAAGGCAGAGAAGAGAGAACCAAATATTATTATGATTTTACCAAACAGTACTATATGTCAGTTATAAGCAACAGATAGACAGAAACAGGGAAAATGCCATCTCCAACCAGAAGCAAAAATCGTAACCTGTGCGTACATTTTGGCAGTGACGGTGTTAAATATAATTATGATACATATCAATCATGTACAACCTGCCCTGGCTTAATGGTACCAACTATCAAGGCCTCTCTTGTTAATCTAACAGTTCAATAACCCCACTAATTCAACTTAAGCTACTTTGGAGAGATACCAATAACAATGTAACGTACAGTGAGTCAAGCACATACTTTGCCGCTGCATTCTATGCAGTCCATCAAAATTTTCCACATTTTTGGTTAGAGACCATGAGATCTTGATACTGCCATACTGGTTGAGATGTGTGAAATATTGTTGTGAACATTCAATGGTCAATCAGCTAAAAAGGTGAATTGACTCTGATAGTTAACATTAATAAATCAAGCAGTATCAGCATAAAACATAGCGAGCGAACACAGAAGGGTTGGTCCAAAAGACAGCATTATATCAGGGAAGACAGTTTTCTGCATCTTCTGTGGAAAGATATATCGCCAGCTTCCCTTGGCACATCTCATTACAAACAATCAAGCAAACCCCTAGTTGAAGCTGAAATTTTTATACAACAGATAAATTAGCTTGGCAATACATGTAAAAGCATGGGTATCCCTTTACTAACCAAACTTGGCATCAGAAGAAAATTCCCGATAGTAAATTGTACCAGTAACAATATTGATACCTACCCCAATTTCCTTCTTTTCCTTCTCTAAATATAAATATGAATTTTGCAGTCATTGGCCAGAACAACATTTTGGTCCTTGAGGAAAACCTTGTCAGTTGTCACAACTCTCGGCATACTTCTTACTGCCATCTTTCACCCAGCATAGATTTAGATTATTGAGAACATTTAATCCGACATCTTCTAAGACAAATAAGCAGAACTGCTAGTCCAATTCTTAACTCCTTTAGAGCCCAATAATTAAAAAAAAAAATTAGAAAAATCATAATCTTCTCGCTCAGTTAATCATCTCCAACTGATCAATCTAAAAGGTAATCAGGGACAAAATGAGAGGCCTTTAGAACCAACTGACATCTAAAACAAATAACGTTACTGGTCACCAACCATCCTCAATTGGCAAATTAGTATTCACTTGGATATATTGTGTAATTGAGACTTTTAATTAATAATAAATATTCCATGACTACCAACAAACAGTGTTTGTCACCAATAATCACCACACGAGCAAATTCCATCTTTAAAGTGATGGAAACGGTTTGAATCCCTTACAACAATCTCCCTCTCAGTAAGTTTGGATATATACTTAGTTGCGTTATGGCAATCGCCACAAACACGTAAGTTCTTAAATATCCTAATTATGCTTCTAGGTGGTGTGCTTATAATTCCAAATGCAATTGCCAACCTCTCACTATGACTTATCAGAATTTGCTCCTTCTCATCATCTTCAACATCCTGCAAGACAAAGCTATAGTCTGGAACATAACCAAGGTTTTTCATTCTTGCAGTCAAAGATCTTAATTCTTTGTATATTTCCGTGCATTTTGGATGAGTTTGGTTGCCAGTATAAAGTATTTCAACTTTACTGCCCACTATGACAGAACTCCACCCAGGAGTCTTCCTCAATCCTCTATCTCTGGCTAATGATCTTACTTTAACTGCACCTTCCCATTTTCCAACTTTCGCATAAATATTTGACAACAACACATAGTAACCAACATTCTCTGGATCGATTTCAAACAAGCGGTTAGAAGCCAATATACCCAATGCCACATTCCCATGAACTCTACAAGCAGCAAGAAGAGCACCCCAAATGGATGCATCAGGTTTCAAAGGCATATTGCTCACCAAATTATACGCCTTTTCCAAATGCCCAGCTCTACCTAGTAAATCCACCATGCAGCCATAATGCTTCAAGTTTGGCATGATCCCATACTCTTTCTGCATGATGTCAAAATACCATTGACCCTGATTGACTAAACCTGCATGGCTAGAGGCAGACAACAGAGATAAAAAGGTTACATGATCCGGCTTTACTCCTTGAGCAAGCATATCTTTGAACAGTTTCAGAGTAATATCTCCATGTCCATGAATTCCATGACAGGATATTATGGCATTCCAAGGAATTGATGTATCCCTTGGGATTTCATAGAATAAAAACATTGCATTATCTAAACTCCCACATTTTCCATACATGTCAATCAAGCAGGTACCCACAAAGACATCCAAGTACAAGCAGCTTTTGATTAGCCTCCCATGGATTTTCATTCCTTCTTGCAAAGCTCCCAAATGGGAATATGCAGGTAGAATGCTCACCCAAGTCCCTTGATTTGGGATTATCTCTCCATACTCTTCCATCATGTTGTAAGCATCAATTCCCTCACTTGCAAGACCATTTTGAACATGACCTGCAATCAAAGTGTTCCATGAAACTACATCTTTGATAGGAAGTAGTTCAAAAACTCTACATGAATAATCCATAGCACCTAATTTTGCATACATGTTCACTAGCGCATTTCCAATCACAACATCCTCCTCAAGCCAATCATGTCTCATAACAAATCCATGAACAGACCTGCCATGCTTTGTATCACTTAACTGACCAAAAATAGAGGCCAAACTCACAACTGTTAATAAGTCAGGTTGCATTCCTATCAGTTGCATATCTTTATAAAATTCAAATGCCATAATTGGATCACAATTCTGCTCATATGCAGCAATAATGGAGTTCCAAGTTACCAGGTCCCTCACTTTCATGTGATCAAAAACTCTTTGCGCATCCCTCAGGTAACCAAACTTGGAATACGTGTTGATTAAAGCATTAGAAACAAATAGATGAGTTTCCAGCCCATGCTTTATAACATACGAATGAATCAAGATACCATTAATGATATCATCTGATTGTGCACAAAGTGGGAGTAGACTTGACACAGTAATTGGATCCATGTTCACCCCCTCAGATTTCATATTATTCAAGACCTTCAATGCCCCAGCTGCATTCCCATTTAGGCAAAACCCAGAAATCATTGCATTCCAAGATCCCAAATCTCGAACTGGCATGTCAGCAAATAATTTGTAGGCAGCATCTAAGGTACCAAACCGTCCGTACAAATGGATCAAGGAAGCAGCCACAAAAACATCTTGCTCAAATCCTGTTTTGAAAACCCAGGAATGTATTTTCTTCCCATCAACCAGATGCTTACATGCTTTCAACACAGGAGGGAAGCTGTAAAAATCAGGTCGAAGACCAGAGATGGACAAGAATTCACTGAAACATTTTAAGGCTTCATGATATTGGCCACAACGAACATATGCAGCTACCATTGAATTCCAAGTACGGATATCCTTTTTTTGAATTTGATTAAAACTACACCGAGAGAATGAGACGTCCCCAAGATAAGCATACAAATTGACCAGTTTGGCAGACAGAAAAACATTTTGAAATTTTCCCAACACCACAAGAAGAGCATGAAGTTGCTTAGCATCATCCACCTTTGTGCAGGAACGAAACAGAAAATCAAAATCAGAAACTCTATTCTTGTTCTCAAAGCCATCCAATATGAACTGCAGATAATTTGTAGTTACTGAAAACGATCTATAAACCATTTGATCCAATGGCAAAAGTTTGGATAGTGGCTTAGCGTTGCAGGTTGACAGCAGTTTGAGAAGAGAAAGCATAGAACATCAGCAGGAACGTATAAAATCTTGGGTTGATTTTACACCAGACATAAAACACGAACAGGATAGCTACAGAAAAGAAATATAAGACAATTTATCAGTAATGCATACAAAATAATTAATTACAGAAAAAGAACCATTTTTAAGACTGTAAGCACAAAAGACTAAGAAAGGATGTGGTAAAGTCACCATCTAAAGAATGAGATTTCCCACTAAAATAAGAAATAGATAGATATTACGCAACAAGAAATGCCATGACAAAGCCAAAGGTCACTCTTATAGCATGCCTTAACTTTTCACTTTAAAAGAAAGTGCTTAAGCCTTCTTCTTACAAAGGCATAACAGAGAGTGCACGCATACAAGAACTTGTAATAAAAGTTTTTCAAGTGAAACAAAGCCAACTTCACGACTTCAGCATCAGAGAATAGCAGAATGCCAACCGTCCCGCTACATGCTAATGCGCATCAAGTCACTTAAAATCACTAGCTGAATTGACTAATTGAGCAGCTATGACGCATCTAATAGATTGGACTGAGCTAGAGACAAATGCTCTGACATGCTTAACCAAACAGCTTTATGTTAGGATTTAGAATGCAACGATTAGCTAAAAGATCCCAAGAGGTTGATCAGCATTCCACCAAGAAAGGCTTGCGTGATGAAAAAGGGCAAATGCTGATTCAAGGAGAAAATGGCTGGGGTAAAATTCTAACTTCTCACTTCCAGTCAAAAGGAATCGAGAATCCAGACAAATATTATTGCCTGTTACATGACTAGCTCTCAGTCCTTCTATGTGAGATTGCGCCTCCTTCGACTCCCGCCTCTGCAATTCTGTTTTCTCTCAATCTCACCCTCGGCTCTGGCTTTTCTTATCTCTTCCAGTATAGCTGCGTATTTCGTACACGCGAAGGACGTGATCTTCTTGTTCCAATCTCTTGAATGAAATCGTCCTCCCTGGCGTTCTCCACTTCGAATCTGTTCGTTCTCCTTCCCGTTCCTTCTCCACTGCAATAGGCTAGCCAAAGGAGCAGCCTTTTTTTTTTTTTTTGGGTCGAAAAAGAAGAAGAGGCCATTCACTTGTCCAAAAGCGTGTGCGAGACCCATTTTCTATTTTGGGCTTTAAGGTTAATGGGTCAGCTATAATTTGATCTGTTTAGGATCTCTTTTGGGTTAGTATGGGCTTAATATTGAGTCAAATGTTGAGCCCCTTTACCTAAGCTCTTTTTTCTGTTTTTTTTTTTAAGGGATAAAAGTGCAAATTTAATCTGTTTATGTCATGCAGCGATATAAAATAAATCGTGAACTATTAAAAATAGAGTGTCCAACACCTCTTGTTAAATTTCAATGGACGACCATTAGTTGACTAGCTGAATAAGTTATTTTGATCAAAGATCTGCCTAAGTGGCTATATATATGGCAAAATTTAATCCACATGGCAAAGGAAGAAGACCAAAGGGCAAAGACTTTGCACAAAAACCCTAACCTAACGTAACCATTTTAGAGAGCTTGAGTTCATTTCTCCATTTATTATAAGGGTGCTTGAGTGTGAAAGCCTTACCCTCATCAAACTTGAATCTCGAGCCATTAGCAAGAAGATACAAGGGGTAAACTCGAAGTGGGTTGCATGTGCTTGAAGATTCCTCTGTTACAAGAAGGTACAAGGGAAATGAAAGCTTTATCGATCTAAAGAAAAGAAAGAGTCTTAAAGTAAAGTTTGAACAAATCTTAAAGATAATAACTTCTTTACATTATAAAATCACACTTAATTCCTTCATCTAACTATTGATTTTTTTTTTTTCATTTGTATAATGAAATTGCTTATAAGCCCTTGAGATGTTGAAACGTGAGGCTAGCAATGATAGAGCAAATGATAGCTCGAACTCTATGTTCAAAGGAAGGAATGGTTGTTAAGTACATAGAGCATAATGCAAATCCAGAAACTAGATTTGCTCCCTCCAATAAGCAAGAAATTAGAAAAACTAGTCAGAGCACTCTATAAAATTCCAATTACCTTTAAGAGGATAGCATTTTCTAGTAAGGGATCAAGTGTGTCACATCCCTCTAATCTTCCATACACATAATGAGGACTCATGTGGAATAGATAGACGACCATAACAACTTCATAACTACAAGCACAATCACATGTTGGGACCCAAAAAACCTCTATCACAGTAGTTGTGTTATTAGGGCTTCTCTTTTATGGCCTTCAAGCTCTAATTTCATACTTGAAACTTAGTCATTCTATAGTTGTTGCTTTCATAACTTGTAGTTGTATTATTGGATGACTCTTGTGGCCTTAAGGCTTTTATTTTGTGACATTAGTTTTTTTAGGATGATAATGAAGCCTTTGAGCTTATGTTTTGGAGTTAATGTTAGAAACTTTAAAATATGTTTGGGCCTTTATTTTTGTGGATGGCAAGAATAGTATGATGTAATAGTGTTTGAATGCCTTCATGCTTCCATTAACTTGGTTAACGTTTAATGGAATGACAATTTCTATGTTGTTCATTGGGATGATTTTTTTTATTTCTTATTTATATACATCTTAGTTTCTAAGACATAATCACACTTTAGTCTCTTTATTTTAGGCAAAATCTAACAATTTAAGGGAAATCATCAATACACATAATCCAATTTTCATAGTGACATGAAGAGTTAAAGAGACATACTTAGAAGTGAGTAAATAGACAAAGTCAAAAATTGATAAAATCATGACTTTCATATCCCTCTTATTTCAATTACATAAATTACAATGCCATAAATTTACAAAGGACAAACAAAACCCATGATAGAGCCAGAACTGTTATTGCAATTTTCACCTTCCTCTTCTTGGTGGCAACTTCACTTTCCTTTATTGTTATTCTTCTCTACATCTTCATCAAGTCAAAATAAATCAAACCAAGATCTACGCCCAAGCCTTCACTAAGGTCTATGATTCTCAACTTGCAATTCAATTTGTATAGCTAGTCCATATGATCTAGAAGCTCTTTGATCACAACCTTTGACCTCTCTCCTAAATCATCATCATGCTATATGAAATACCCATAACCTTCCCGGTCAATTTCTTTGACAAATCAGACATAAAAACAAGAAATGATATGGGTGAATATGAAATTATGCTCATATACTAACTTGGTAATGCTTTCAACACCTATAAAATCTTTTTTATTAAGGTACCTTTAGTCTATACAGTCTATGTAGTCTATTTCCCATGAAGAATTTACTCACACTTACTTGTCTAATGGTCAAATGAAGGGAGAGCCATCCATTAAAATTTAGTTGGCCCTACATAGGAAATAAACATTAGTCAAAATTTGAGGTTATAGGTGCTCCATTTTTAATAATTCATGATTTATTTTACACCACCTAATAGTAAATAATACAAGGTGCTTCTCAAAAAATAGTATATGGTTAAATTTGCACCTTTACCTTTTTTAATAACACATTGTCTAGCTTTCCTAACTTTTATCTTATGTTAGCAATAATGGTTGAGTTTAGAGAAAGGGACTAGTTCCTCACAATGTGGTGAACAAAGGTTTGAATCCTTACTAAGAGAATGCCCACATTTAATGCCTAACAGTGTCTTCAACAGGATTACATCCAATAGGAGGATATATGTGAGTAAAAAAAGCTTTTACTTTATTGTTTTTGGGTTAAAGGGAAAATTTGTCTAGTAAGTTTTTTATTATGTACAAATGGTATTCTTAAATTTTAATTGGTGCAATGTTATTTTAGAAGTTTTAAAAATAGTGCAATGTCGTCCTAAATGATGTTGACAAAGGTTAATCATTTTAAAGTGTTAAAAGGCAATTTTGTCTCAAAAGTTTGTTTAAACAAGTAATTGATATTCTAAAATTTTTATTGGTATAGTGTTTTTGGACTGTCAACTTTCAAATCAATAAATAAGAATCCAACACAATTTGTTACAACCCAAAATTAGAAGAAGATCTTAGGTTTAATTACACTGAATGCCTCTAAAGTCATAATCCAAACTAGTCTATTTTGACTATAAGCAAGTATGAATAAGTCTGTATTTAAGCTTATGCAAGTCGAGAACTACTCATGAGCATTAAAAGGGCAAGTTCAAACTTAAAAAAAAGTTAGTGGAGTATTTAGGGTATAGTTGATTTTGTGTCAAAATAACCTTCTGTCAAAATCCAAAAATATAAACCATTTTTAATAATAACTAGTGTCCTGCCTTGTGCAATGCACAAGTAAGATATCATCTCATTTTATTTATTTATATGTATTCTCACCAATGTGATCAGATGAATTTTCAAAGGCTCTAATCATAAATAGCATCCTATTGTAAGTTGTAACTACTAAAAAAATAAGAAATTTAAATTTACAATAATAGTGCAAATATAGATATAGCTAGCACCATCATCCTTTCTAGGATTCTGTAACTCTCCTTTCTTCTCTAAAATTTGACATGGTATAAGAATTGTTTGAGACATCATATACCCATCTTATATGAGTTTAAGAAATATGATTAACAAAACAAATGTAAAATGAAGTCTGTTTTGTAGACTTGAAAGTTGATAACAATTAATGTTCCAATATAAATAAAAAAGTATGTTCAATAGCCAACTATAATTTGAAGTATAAATTACAGAAGGAACCTTATACAAACTAAAAAGAAAGATCTATTGCTGTTACTGTGAAATGGGATTAAATGAATTTTTAGAGCCTCTAATCATAAATAAATGCCTATTGTAAGTTGTAGCTATCAGAAAAATAAGAAATTTTAAAAGCTAAGGATATATTAAAGGTGTCAATTTAAAGAAAGATAGTGCCAAGTAAAACAACTATCAAAAAAGTTCTAACTTTAGAAGATAGGTGGCAAGAAGGGCATTGGTTGCTTACAAGATTATTAGCTCAATCAAGTGTTACAAGCCCAAAATTAGGACCATATCCATCAGTCCACTCCTAATTATCAAAAATAGTTCAAAATAAGTAACCAAGCACAAGCACGCCCTATAAAACTAGAAAAGGAAGGCCTGACATGAAATCAATAAATAGAACGAATTGCATGATTTAAAGCTAATCAATGGTAAGTTCAAAGTCCAAACCATTGTCATGGTTGCACATATAGCAAGAAAATATTCCAACAAATATGGACTTTGAATTAGATATATCTAATCAAATACCTTATTTTCAATAATGATGAATGGAACATTTAGATATTTGTATCTTTCATGGAACTGAAGCAACGTGCGATACGAGCTATTAGGATATACCCCATGACCAAATTCATAATCATTTGTCTCTACAAGTTTCACCCCCACACAAAAAACAACCTCCTAAATGTTAGAATGGTTACATAAGTATAAGCTTAATGCACATAGTGCATTCATCAATGTTATCACTGCCTATAGTAGTTTATGCTATAAGATCTAGCTTTTTAGAGATACTATCAATGTACAGAAAGAAAGTTAAGGAATTAGCTAATGAAATATCAACAACATCAAACAAACCATAAGGTCGTATGAATGACACAAGGTGTGTGCTACACCAACTACGGTTTTAAATGACACTACTACAAAATTAGCTATACTAGGTGACTATTGTTAGAGGATTATTTTATATAACCGTCCAATATGTATAGGTGGAGAAGCATACTAGACAGTTGTAAAGGAAACCATCCAATAATGCCTAATATATTGGATTGTTATATACTAATCTATCAAATATATGATTTAAAATTCTAAAATATTTAATTTTTTAATTTGAAAACTAATATTGGATAGTTCAGTAAATTAATCGTCTTGTATTATTTACTTATATTGAATGATTATTATAAATAACCATCCAATAAATGATTTAAAAGTATCGAGAACCCCTTTTTCCTCATTTTTACATTTTTTTCATTTTTTCTTCCTCCTTTCTCCATCACAATAGTGTCACCCTGGTTTCTTCTTTATCGTCATAGCTCATTTTCAACATCATAGGTCTCATTTTCCTCCCTCTTCGAT